TCAGCAAAGTTTTGGTTGACCAGGGAAGTTCGGTCAACATCCTTTACTGGAAGACCTTCCTGCAAATGGACATCTCAGAGGATCTTATCGTCCCCTATGATGGACAGATAGTGGGGTTTGCAGGAGAAAGGGTCGATACAAGGGGATATGCGGAATTGAGGACGAGATTGGGGACCAGCCGCTCTAGTGAGGAGAGGAGGATCCGGTATCTGTTAGTAGAGGCTAACACCTCGTACAATGTACTGCTCGGAAGGCCGTGCTTGAATGCGTTCGGAGCAATCGTTTCTACGCCCCACCTCACGATGAAGTACCCCTCTGAAAAGGGAACTATCTGCACGGTCCGGGCGGACCAGAAGACGGCTCGAGAGTGCTATGCGGCAGGTTTAAAGTTGCACACCCGGCCAATGAAGAGGCGGGCGGTCGGTTCTGAGGTGGCCATGGCTGACCTCGATCCAAGAACGAATACTGAGGACCGCCTAGAACCTATTGGGGAAACCAAGCCTATCTTGATAGGGAGGGAACCCTCTCAGACTACCCTCATCGCCAGGGAGCTGAACCCTGGGATGGAAAAGGAGCTAAGGGCGCTCCTGTGGAGGAACCGGGATTTATTTGCGTGAACGGCGGCTGATATGCCGGGGATTCATCTCGCGGTGATGTGCCAAAAGCTCTCGCTTTTTAAAGACGCCCGCCCGGTGGGCCAGAAAAAGCGGAGGATGGGCGAAGAAAAGCGAAAGACCGTGGAGGAGGAGGTCGAGAAATTGAGGAAGGCAGGTTTTGTCCGGGAAGTCACCTATACCACGTGGTTAGCTAATGTGGTTATGGTGAAGAAAGCCAGCGGAAAATGGCGCATGTGCACTGACTACACCGACCTGAACAAAGCTTGCCCGAAAGACTCACACCCTCTACCCAGCATAGAAGCCCTGGTGGACGGCGCCTCTAGACATCGGATACTAAGCTTCCTGGATGCGTACTCCGGATATAACCAGATACTCATGTATGGGCCGAACGTCGAAAAGACGGCTTTCATCACGGAGAAAGCCAACTTCTGTTATGAGGTCATGCCGTTCGGCCTGAAGAACGCAGGGGCGACGTACCAGCGCTTAATGGACAGGATCTTCCGGGAGTAGATAGGCCGGTGCATGGATGTATATGTGGACGACATGGTCGTCCGGTCCACGGATGAAGAGGGGCACATAAGAGACCTTGAAGAGGTGTTTCACCAAGTAAGGAAGTTTGGCATACGTTTGAACCCCGCCAAATGCACATTTGGGGTCGCCGCCGGAAAGTTCCTGGGCTTCATGCTGACGTCTCGAGGAATCGAGGCCAATCCGGACAAATGCGAGGCGATACTGCAAATGCAAAGCCCGACCACCCTTAAGGAAGTCCAGAGATTGGTCGGGCGCCTCACCGCCTTGTCACGGTTTATCCCAAAATTAGCCGAAAGGATGAGACCGGTCCTCCGTAAACTGAAGAAAGGGGCCGGCCCGGTATGGGACGACGAGTGCGAACGAGCGTTTCGGGATGTCAAAACCATCCTTGTTAACCCGCCGGTCATGAATCGCCCGGTACCCGGAGGGGACTTGCACATTTTCCTGGAGGTGTCAGAGACGGCCATTAGCACCGTGTTGATGCAAAAACAGCCTCAGGCGAGGCTAATTTATTTTGTAAGCCGCACGCTCTTAGACGCCGAAACCCGATACCAACGGGTAGAGAAGGTGGCATTGGCCTTGTTGAACGCGTCCCGAAGACTCCGCCCTTACTTCCAAAGTCATCAGGTGATAGTCAGGACCGACTTCCCTATCTCTAAGATCCTGAGAAAGCCGGACTTAGCCGGACGTATGGTGGCATGGGCGGTGGAGCTCTCGGAGTTCGGCTTGCGCTACAAGCCCAGGGGGTCGATCAAGGGCCAACATTTGGCGGATTTTGCGGCCGAGCTACCCCCTTCCGGCAAGGACGAGTGGAACTTGTACGTGGATGGGGCGTCCGGTCGATCGATCAGCGGAGCCTACATCGTCTTGGAGGGCCCCAATGGATTCTTACTGGAACACTCCCTGATCTTCAAATTCAAAGTCTCCAACAATCAGGCCGAGTATGAGGCCCTGGTGGCCGGCCTCGAGCTTGCAAAGGACATGGGGGCAAGGAGGATAACCTGCCGCACGGATTTAGAACTAGTGGTCGGCCAAATGAATGGCAACTTCCAAGTCCGGGAGGAGCGACTGCTACAATACTTCCAACGAGCAACGGAGCTCGCAAGAATGTTCGAGAAGGTTGCCATACAGCACATCCCCAGGGAGCAGAACACAAGGGCCGACCTACTGTCTAAACTCAGTTCGGGAAGAGAAAAGGGACAGTTAACTACTGTCGTGCGGCAGGTTCTACTTCAGCCCTCAGTGGAGTGTTCGGCGGTGTCCGACGGGGGAAAAGATTGGCGGACAGAAATCAGAGAAATCATGACCCGCCAGGACGAAGGACGAGCGGTAGGCCCAAGTGACGCCAAGAAGGTCGCTCGCTATCTCATGGTGGGGGACGACCTGTATCGAAGAGGATTCTCTTCTCCCCTCCTTAAGTGCTTGGGGGAGGCAGAGGCGCGCTACGTCATGGACGAGCTTCACAACGACATCTGTGGTCCCCATACGGGTTGGCGGACGCTAAAGGCCCGGCTACTAAGAGCCGGATATTACTGGCCAACCATGGAGGCAGATACAAAGGCGTTCGTCCCAAAATGCATCAACTGCCAAGCACACGCCAACAACTCCCACTTACCCCCGCACGCCCTGCACTCAATCGCATCCCCCTGGCCGTTCGCCCAATGGGGCATGGACATCGTAAGACCGTTCCCCGTAGGGTAGGCCCAGAAAAAATTCCTCTTGGTGGCGGTGGATTATTTCACCAAGTGGGTAGAGGCCGAGCCCCTGGCAACTATCACGGCCGCCCAAGTTCAGAAGTTTTGCTGGAAGTTGATATGCCGCTTCGGCCTCCCTCGCTCCATCATCACAGACAATGGCCGACAGTTCATTGACAAGAAGCTCGCTGAATTCTTTAAAGGATTGGTGATTAAGCATATTACTAGCTCAGTAGAACACCCTCAGACGAACGGACAAGCAGAAGCGATGAATAAGACCGTAGTCTCGGAGCTTAAGCGACATTTAGGAGAAAGGAAGGGGGCGTGGGTGGACGAGTTACCCGAAGTCTTATGGGCGTATAGATGCACGCCTCACAGAACCACCGGCGAAACCCCCTTTAACTTAACTTGTGGTACTGATGCCATGCTGCCGGTTGAACTGGGAGAACCGTCACTAAGGCGACAGATTGAAGACCTACAGATCAACGACCAAGAGCTGAGGATCGAGTTAGATTCCTTGGACGAACGGCGAGACCGAGCGGCTTTGAGGGCGGAAGCATGTAAGCGAATGGTTGAAAAAAAGTACAACTCCAAAGTCCGGCCAAGGAGCTTCCAAGAGGGGGATCTGGTATGGAGAAAAGCTGGTGACGCCCGCCGAATCCCAGCACATGGAAAATTTGCTGCCAAATGGGAGGGGCCGTTCCGAATAATGGAAGCGCTAGGAAACGGGACGTACAGACTGCAGCGACCGGACGGACGCCCAATCCCTAATACGTGGAACGCCACACATCTGAAATTTTATTTTAGTTAATTCCCATGATTTGATGTCATGTACTGTTATTTCCAATAAATAAATGACAGGATGCTTCTTTTCTCACACAAATGTAATTCCATCAAGACCAAGTTGGCGAAGAATCTTCCATCGGGAACCACTCTCAACTTGGCCACATAACTACCGTCCGCCCCATAAAGACCAAGTTGGCAAAAAAGAGCGTTCCACCGAGAACTACTCTCAACTTGGTTGGGCCGCGAGGCATGGAACCGTCCGCCCCATAAAGACCAAGTTGGCGAAAAAGAGCGTTCCACCGAGAACTACTCTCAACTTGGTTGGGCCGTGAAGCACGGAACCGTCCGTCCCATAAAAGACCAAGTTGGTAAAAAAGAGTGTCCCGCCGAGGATCACTCTCAACTTGGTCGGGCAATAAACGTTCAAACAAACCCCAAAAATAAACGTTACCGTCCGCCCGCAAGAGAGTATTCCAAAGAACAACTCTTATCCGGGCCGGACCATGATTAGAGTGACAATTAATTTATAAGGGGATCGCCCCTTCCAGAAGATTAAAGAGCAAACAAGGAAACTTGCGAAATTCAAAGAAAATGTAAGTTGTGTATTAATCGTTTGCACGAAAACGTGCTCAGTTTTACAAAAGGATCGTCCGGCCAACCTCTAGGTACTCCAAGATGTTGGGCGGGCAGCCACATAATACACATCAAAAAATGAAAGATTAAAATCCTAACTATCTCCCCCGGCCCCGGCATCCACGGTCGGTTCGTCCCCCTCGGCTACATTCAGGTCCACTAGGACGCCATCAAAAACGTCCTTCTCGATATCAACGCCAAGAGAGTACGGATCATTAACGCCCGCCAAAAGAGACACCTGGCGAAGGGCTTTGTTGAAGCCTTCCTCGTGTTCAAACACGATCGTTGACTCCAACTCGGCAATCTTATCCTTGGCCTTGGCAACGTCAAGGGAGAGGGCCTCATTCGCCTTGGCACGTTCGGCCTCGGCATCCTTTAGGCGGGCCACCTCCACCCTCAGCTGGCGCCCTTCCTCGGCCATACGATCTTGCTCGCCCCGGGCGGCTGCCAAACCTTCCTCGGCTTCCCTTTGGGACTTCTCAAGATCGGCCTCCAGTTGCTCATTTGCCAGCTGGAGGGAGGCTGGGTTCTTCTTCTCGGCGTCCAGCGCGGCACGAACCTCCGCCACCCCCGGACGATCGGCGAACTCCTTCAGATACCAGGCCAGGGCGGACGTCCGAGTGGACATCTCCAACATAGCGTTTGTCAATTCCAGTTCGGAGAGGGGCTCAATGAGCGCCCGTTGGGAAGAGCTCATATGGAACTTTGCCCGGTCGCTCATACTGAACGCCGGACTGAAGATGCCGCCTGGCAAGGGAACGACCGGGACCCTCTCCCGATCTTTCTCTTTATCTTTGCCCTTGCGAGCTTTCTTTGACGCTGATCGAGACGAGGAGCCCTCCTTGTCTTTGCGTCCCTCGGCAGCATGATCCTTCCTTTTGCGGATCAAGGGAACAGCAGAGGCGGTGGCCGCATCAAAGGACGGATCCATGTGAACGGCCGCCAGATCTTGCTGGGGACGAGAACCTGGCGCCTTGA